GACTTCTCTGTTCTTGGAACCTGTGAAATTATCTTTTCCTGGAGACTTAATTGTGAGGTCCCACAGAGGTCCACATGAGAAGTCCATTTCCATAAGCTGGTCATGTGCCAAGCCTAACTACTGCCTTTAGAGACACAGTCACTAGTAAAAGGTGAAGCAGGGCACAGTCTCTGGAGGTTGAGGTGGGGCTGTTGCTCACGGAGACTCCCTCAGAAGATTGTGGCGTTCCACTGGGTGGTGATCAAAATGGTTGTAAATGGTTTTCAAACGTGGCTTGAGCTGGTGACCGTCTCAAGCTGGCACTCAAAGCAGTGTTTGTAAATCAGAGTTACAGATGTTTAGGATATATAAAACTTACTTTAGTAAGAACACTTTTTATTAAAGGGATAGTGTTCTGTTCTTGGGACTAAGAAGTAATTACATTGCCAGGTATTGTACTAAGCTTTCTGGAAATACCCGAGCCTGACACAGAACTTATTAGGTCTAGTAATAATTAATGTCGTTTTCTAATACTTTTTTAAATCGAATTTATTTAAACAATACAACAAAATTTAATCAACAATATAGTTGCCGTTGTTTTCTACTACTTGTGCCCAATGCTCAGAAAGCATTTTAATCACTCTGTTGTAAAATTCTTGTGATTTTGATGCAAAAAATTCGGTCAATGCATTTTTGAGGCATTCTTCATTAAATTTTTTTCCAAGAAGAAAGTTTTGCAAAGAACGAAACAAATGGTAATCGGAAGGGGCAATATCAGGAGAATATGCAGGTTGAGGGAGAACTTCCCATTCCAACTGGCGCAGTTTTTCAGCAGTGATTCTTGCAGTATGCGGTCGTGCGTTATCGTGGTGAAGAATTACGCCCTTCCGATTAATCAGCGCGGATTCTTTTTCTCTTAAAGCTTGGGCTAACCTTTCCAATTGGGCACTATACACTGCACTTGTAATGGTTTGGTTAGATGGTAAAAGTTCATAATGAAGAATTCCTTTAAAATTCCACCAAACACACAACATCACTTTTTTCGCATGCAAGTCAGGTTTTGGCGTGGGCTGCGGAGCCTCATTTTTGTCCAACCATTGAGGCCGCCTTTTCAAATTAACATACAGCACCTATTGTTCATCTCCGGTAACAATTTGCTCTAAAAACGGCAAACGGTTTTGACGAGAGAGGAGCGAACTGCAAATTGTGACTCTTTGATTACGGTTGTTGTCGTCAACTCATGAGGAACCCATTTTTCAAACTTTTGGACTTTGCCAAGTGCACGCAATTGATTGGAAATTGTTTTCTGTGAACAATTTAAAGTTGTCGCAAGCTCTTGTTGGGTAATTTGAGGATTTTGCACCAAAAGAGCTTGAAGAGCTTCTTATCAAAATTGGACACACGGCCTCGACCACTCTTGTCATCTAACAAAAAATTTCCCTCGCGAAATTTCTCAAACCAACGCTGGCATTTTCTGGCGCTAACTGCATCTTGACTAAGAGCACTACAGATGTTTTTTGCAGTCTCGCTTGCTTTTCTTCCTAATTGGAACTCGTAAAGCATGCAGTGCCGAATATGCTCTTCATCTGCCATCTTCTTAGCCCTAGTTTTGCAACAAAAACCAAACCAAACACAAACTTTTTCAAGCAAAACTTGTTAATTGCACTTCACACGTTCTGTAGATACCAAGTGTTTGAAGGTTATGTCAATACAAGTCAACGCCAAGCAAGATTTTAAACGAATGTTTAAAAACGACATTAATTGTTACTAGACCCGATACAATGTTGGTGGAAGGGATACCATTGTCCAGATGAGGAAACAGGCTCAGCTTCTGAGTAACATCCTAAATTTTAATCAAAAATGTGCCTTAAACAAGCGAAATGTACTTTGTTAGAGTTATTAGAAAGATAGAGCATAAACGTGCTTCTTAGGGAGTTTTCAATGTAGGTAGTGATAAAAATGACGGATGAAAGTGGTGTGACAGCCCTAATCAGTTTGACTCAGTGGATAGAGTGTCGGCCTGCGGAATCAAGGATCCCAGGTTCGATTCCAGTCAAGGGCATGTACCTTGGTTGCAGGCATATACCCAGTAGGAAGTGTGCAGGAGGCAGCTATCCCTCTCCCTCTCTGAAAAAAAATAAAATACATTTTTTTGAAAAAAGAAAAAGAAAGTGGTGTGACAAGTGCCAAGGATTTTCAAAATTCAACTAATACCAAGCTGCCTCTTGCAGACTCATGATGCAATCCAGGTGGATTTGCTGGGACAAGGGGGCAGGTGGAAGTTGGGTTTCGTGCCAACAAAACATTTTGCATCAGCTTCCAAACACTTCATTTCTTTGATCTATCCCCTGCTCATCTGTTCTGTTTGGCGCCACCAAATTGATTGCTAAAAACAGTCCTAACTCAAAAGCCTTGGCTAGCATCCTGCTGCCTACAATCCAGGTTCAGCCTGGTCTCCAAGCCCTGCCACACTTCATCTGTCCTAATTTCCCGTTACCAAATACGACCAGCAACTATTTTAGATACTTCCATTATTTGCCAGCTTCCATTCTCAAATCTTCACAACCACTAAGAGGTAGACCTCCCTACTTTATTTTTGGTTAGGTATTTTCTCCTAGCCTGGCTAGTTTCAATGTTCACTCAACGGATGCTCATTGAGGGCATCCTATATGCCCTCAGTTACTGGAGAGTGCACTGAGGTCATCGTAATGAGTAAGATTGTTTCTGTTCTAATGGTGCTTTTCTCTGATGCTGATACAGGCTATGAAAATTATAGGTAAGTGGCATTTGTTAGTGTTTTCCTTGGTCTGAGAAGGCAAGAGGTTTCAACTATTTTTTTAAATATGTTTTTATTGGTTTCAGAGAGGGGGTAGAGAGATAGAAACATCAATGATGAGAGAATCATTGATTAGCTGCCTCCTGCACACCTACCCACTGAGGATCAGGCATGTGCCCTAGTCAATTACACTCAACCACTGAGCCAAGCCGGCTGGACTCAGCTATTTTTTATGAAAGAAGCACCAGCCGAAACCGGTTTGGCTCAGTGGATAGAGCATTGGCCTGCGGACTGAAAGGTCCAAGGTTCGATTCTGGTCAAGGGCATGTACCTTGGGGGCACATCCCCGGTGAGGGGTGTGCAGGAGGCAGCTGATCAATGATTCTCATCCATGTTTCTAGCTCTCTATCCCTCTCTCTTCCTCTCTGTAAAAAGTCAATAAAATATATTTTTTTTAAAAAAGAAGAAGCTCCAGCCATGCAAAGCTAGAATATAAAGTTCTTTCCACACTAGGCATGGCTGCTTTCCCATGAGAACCCTCAGTTCTATCTTACTAGACCATATTAATGCCTCTTGAAGGTTCCTGTCCTGCCCTCATAAATGTACTCTGTTCTGTCCATGTAAATCTTGATAAAAGTTATGGCACATTTTAATGTAATTGACTGGGGTCTGTGGGAGGAGCTAGAGTTTAAGGGAGGCGTTCTTGCATCCTATGCCATTGTGAGAATCCCACAGAAAGCTCTGGTGGTCATCTGGTTCCTCTTCTATAAGTTGCTCTTTCATTGTTGTCTAATTTAGTTGTACGTGAGGCTTGCCATATTTTTCCTAGTTCTTTTTGATCAAAGAATTACCTACTTGATACTGTTTCCAAGTTGATAATCTCATGCAGTATCCATATCCCACCTCTGGGAGGCCAGCTACAACCATCCTGTTCACTTGAATCCTGCTGTGCCTCCACTCCAGCCACACCACTGCTAAAGTGGGTTTATCTTTAAGTGTCCTACTGGCCACTTTATTTACATTACCAGGTTCATAAAACAATCATGAATGAATAAAAAACATAAAGAGCTCATAATTGAGTGAAAAGGGGATTTTAATTCCAAGCTCCGCCTGTTAACTGTGTTATTTTAAGCAAATCACTCTAATCCTATGTAGGTTTTGGCCAATGGCTACAAAATGGAGTAAACAGAATTTTTGGCTACCTCACTGGTTGGTGAAAGATCAAGCCAATCATGAATGTTTCTTAATAGACTGAATCGTAGTGTCCATATAAGAACTTTCAAACCTTTAAATAATTTTTATAAGGATATACCTGAAAGCAAGATCTCAACAGACAGAAAAATTCTTCAGAATGACAGATTGCAGCTTTTATGCATTTAGGATTAAAGAGGGGAAGGAAAGTAAGATGCAGGAAGGTGGGGATCATTACAGGATAGTTAAGAGTATATGCTCTCGCCGAGACCGGTTTGGCTCAATGGATAGAAATTAGGCTTGGGAACTGAAGGGACCCGGGCTCGATTCCGGTCAAGGGCATGTACCTTGGTTGCGGACATATCCCCAGTAGAGGGTGTGCAAGAGGCAGCTGATCGATGACTCTCTCAGATGTTTCTAGCTTTCTCTCTCCCTTCCTCTCTGTACAAATTCAATAAAATAAAAAAATTAAAAAAAGTATATGCTCTCTAGATCGTGGTTTGGGTTGATGGATCTGAAAGGCATTTCAAAGGTGTGTTAGTCCTAGATGCACAAAACAATGGGACGGGGCTTGCTTAAGGCAAAGATAAACCTTTTACTAAAGAATGCTTATGCCGGTTAGAAATTATCAGATCAACCTGTGAAGTTACTTCCTGTAGAATCCCTTTCTTAGTCCACAATAGCAAGATCTGTTCATTGGTTTTCTGTCTTGACTTCATCAACCTGGTTTCCAGTCCTCAAAACCTGGGTAGCCAGCGAGTCTTTAGCTACATCATTGGTTTAACGTGAGCTGGAATCACCTCCAAGAATAATCTCCCGCGCCTCACAGTGAAAAGGCACAGCTTGAAAACAAGAGCCCGCACCGGTGCTTGGAGGGGACCTCTAGCCCTGGCACCGCAGCCCCCCTATCCTCTCTCCCCCCAGGCAGCACGGGCAGGCCTCCGCGCCGCCGCCTACGACCCCGCAGGCCCACCGTCCGGCGTGCGGCACGCCGCGCACGTGACCCCGCCCCCAGCCATTGGCCCGGCGGGCGGGGCGGGGCGGGTCCGCGGCGGGCGGGCTGGGCGCCCCGGCCTCACTGTGCGCGCTGCCGGCGGAGCGGCTGCGAGGTGCGGGCCGAGGTAGGGGGTGCGGAGACTGCGGGCCGGGCGCCGGAGCTGCGGGCGCGGGCACTGCGCACGCGCGGGAGCGGCTCTTAAAGAGCGCGCACCAGCCGGAGGGCGGCCTCGCGCGGGCCGGTGTGGCGGCAGGTGTGCTGGGCATCGCAGCTGCGTGACCGCGGAGGCTGGGCACCTGGCGGGGGCGGGGTCCATGCAGGCCACGCCTTCTCCAGGCTCCAGCCCCAGAGCAGAGGTGTGGCCAAAGCGACATGCCCCCAGGCTCCAGCCTGGGGAGGGCGCGAGGGGTGCTTGGCATCCTTCACTTTAGGGAGGAAACCGGAGAGCACCCGCCTTCGTACTGCTATGGCCATACGAAGAGGGCTGGTGGCGCCCCAGGGAGCCGAGGCCCGGCAGGAGGTGAAGGAGCTGGGGACTTTTGGAAGGAGCTCCAGATCCAAGCTTGAAACCATAGCAAATGAGCCCAGAAGTCCTTGAGTTCTGGTGCTGGCTCCACGCCACATAGCCGGGAGCGCCCAGGCCGGCCTCTGCCTCCGGGCCGGCCCGGACCTCACTCATTCCCATCCCCAGGGCCTCAGACCAACCTTGGTCCGAGGCCTCACCCATCTGGTTTGCGCGGGATGGGCCTCTGGGTGGCCCCGGGGCTGCTCCTAGCCATGGCTCTCACCCTGCACCTGGCCGAGGCCTCCGCGCCCCCGCACCGGGACTACTGCGTCCTGGGCGCGGGGCCCGCGGGCCTGCAGATGGCCTACTTCCTGCAGCGGGCCGGGCGCGACTACCAGGTGTTCGAGCGCGCCTCCAGGCCCGGCAGCTTCTTCACGCGCTACCCCCGGCACCGCAAGCTCATCAGCATCAACAAGCGGCACACCGGCAGGACCAACTCCGAGTTCAACCTCCGCCACGACTGGAACTCGCTGCTCAGCCACGACCCGCGCCTGCTCTTCCGACACTACTCCCGGGCCTACTTCCCCGACGCCGGCGACATGGTGCGCTACCTGGGCGACTTCGCCAGCAGGCTGCGGCTCCGAGTGCGCTACAACACAGCCATCGCCCACGTCACTCTGGACAAGGATCGGCGGGCCTGGAATGGCCATTACTTCATCCTGACCGACCAGAAGGGCCAGGGATACAGGTGCAGGTAAGGATCGGGGTCCCGGCGCTCACCTGAAGCCTGGCCTTTCCTGGAGGGACTGACACTGCCTGTGTGTGTGGCCGGTGGGGGTACGAGGAATGGGAGAAGCAACATTGGGTAGTTAGCATTACCTAAGCTTAGGTACCCACAAAACCCTTTTGTAGAACATCTCCCAGAACTAGTGTTCCCCAAAACATGCATTTTTTTTTTATTTTTTTTTAAAGAAATTTCTTTGGAGAGCCAAGTTTTTTAAACTTAAACTATATAGGTAGGTGCATTGTTATTAACTTAATTAGGGTACTCCTAAGCTGGCCTTTGCTAAAAATTCAAGGGGCCAAAGAGCCACCGTTTGCCGACCACTGCTGTAGGCAACCCGGATTCAGAGTCATGAACTAGACTGCACTTGTTGCAGCCTCACCAGGACCCTAAGGGGGAGGGTCGCTGACTCCCATCTTGCAGATGAAGAACTGGGTCTGAGAGAAGCCCAGCAACTGGTGCTGCAGCACACAGCTTTTTTCTTTTTTCTTTTTTTTTAATTGGGAAAAGTTTCCAATTAGCAATAATCACACCTTGGAGAAACTTCATTGCCTACGACACTGCCACTGTGCAAAGCTTCACACAGCTTTCAGGCTGCAGTTTGAGCTCCTATCTTCCTGACCTCCCAGCTGCCCCAGACGGCCTCTCACTTCCTGGCCATTAGCTGAGCACCTGGCTCCCAGCAGGCGCTCCATCAGCGTTCATCTGCCTGCCCCTGTGTCCTGGCAGGGGCCCAGCCCTGCTCCTTGCTGCTTACAGCCAGGAAGACTGAGCCATCCTGACCCCTGCATCCAAACAGCTGTGTTACAGCGTCAGGGAGCCAGATAGGAGCAGAGTGGACAAGACTCAGCAGACACAGTGAGAGGGCTGCCTATGCCCCTTCTACAGGCCATCCAGTTGGATTTTTTTCCCAGTTTGATTTTTGAAACCACCCTGTGAACAAATCATTCTTCTGCAGGCCGGCAGGATCCAGCTCCCCAGCCGGCCTCGACAGCACTGCAAACTCGCCAATATGAAGAGCGGGACTCGGGCAGCCTGCTGATCTGTGGGCAGAGTCTGGCCTGCTGACATGGAGCTTTGGACGCCAGCTGTGGGCCTGAGTGTCTCCTCACCTGTAAAGCAGGCCGGATAAATCCATCAGGGTTGCTCTGAGCTATAAGATGACACATAAAACATGTACAGAGTCTGTAGAGGTTACTCCTCAACAGATGTCTGCATTTGTCCAGCAAGTCAGAAAGGGGAAGTAGGAACATCGAGTCTCCTTCTCATCACTGAGGGGGATACTTGATCTGACTGTTGTGTTCAGAATTGGATGAATTACTTGCTTTCTCATGTGCTGCCCTCTCCTGTCAGTCAAATTTCCATATTTGGTATAATCCCAGTAAGGGGTAAAGGAAACTCCGCTGGAGTGAGCTCAGTGAGGGATGGGGTAAAATCTCACGTATACTGGGATAGATCAGTCATAAGATGAATGAATATCCTGTTTTTGTTTTGTTTTGTTTTTATTCAGAGAGGAAGGGAGAGGGAGAGATAGATAGAAACATCAATGATGAGAGAGACTCATGGATTGCCTGCCTTCTGCACTCCCCACACTGAGGATTGAGCCTGCAGCCCAGGCATGTTTCCCTGACTGGGAATTGAACCGATGGCCTCTTAATTCCTGGTTGACACTCAACCGCTGAGCCACACCCGGCTGGGCTGTCCTGTTTTCTTTCAGGAGCCAGCCGTGTGAGCCAGGTGGCAGGTCCCAAAAGTGACTTTTCCTTAGTGTCTGGCAGATAAGAGACTAAGCCAGCTTCTCCTCGTTCCCCACCTGCAGCGTCCTCCTCGTCGCCACCGGTCTGTCCGTTCCCAACCTGGTGGACTTCCCCGGCGCCGAGTATGCGGAGGGTTACGAGTCTGTGTCCGTGGACCCGGAGGACTTTGTGGGGCAGAACGTGCTGATCCTGGGCCGAGGGAACTCGGCCTTCGAGACGGCAGAGAACATCCTGGGTGTCACCAACTTTGTGCACATGCTGAGCCGCTCCCGCGTCCGGCTGTCCTGGGCCACCCATTACGTAGGAGACCTCAGGTATGCCCCGGTGTGCTGTGTGCTCCAGCCCCTCTGAAGCCATTCCCGACCCCGGCTAGACTGACCACCTCTTCCCCGGAGCCCCCTGTACCCAGCACAGACTCCTTTCTCTCTCCTGCATGTTTCTCGGGCCCCAGGGCCATCAACAACGGCTTGCTGGACACCTACCAGCTGAAGTCCCTGGATGGCTTGCTGGAGTCCGACCTGACGGATCTGGCTGTGGTGAAGGACCCCAAGGGCAAGTTCCACATCACCCTCAAGTTCTACGTGGAAGAGGGCAACCAGAGTGCCGAGGCCGTCCCCCTCCCGCAGGACGACAGCGACAACTTCGCCATGCGCGTGGCCTACGACCGCATCATCCGCTGCCTGGGCTGGAACTTCGACTTCTCCATTTTCAATAAGTGAGTCCAAGTGATGGGGGAGCTGGGATCTCACACCAACCCCTCGGACACCCTCCCCGGGGGAGCAGCGTCCCCATCCGGCAGAGCCAGATGTGGATGCCGCCTGGATGTGGATGCCGCCTGGTTTCCCGCCCGGATGGTGGCTCTCTGTCCACTGAGAAGGACCCAGTGGCCCTGAGCCCCTCCCCCTTGGAGCAGCGGCAGTAGCGAGTCTTCGTCTGTGTTGTGATCCTCCTTCCACCTGAGAGGTGGGAAGGCGAGGACCAGGAGGTGAATTTGCTGCAAGGCGGTATGGTGGCCAGGAGCGCAGACTCGGGGGTCGGTCTTTGGTTCTTTCTTACCAAATCTGTGAGCTCTGGGAGAGTTGCTTTACCATGGTTGGCTCCAGTTTCTCATCACTAAAATGGGGATCATAGTTCCTTTTTCAGAGGCCTGTTGTGAGGATGAATGTAGAAAACTACTTGGACCCTAGCAGGTTTGGCTCAGTGGATAGAGCGTCAGCCTGCAGGCCAAAGGGTCTTAGTATCGATTCCAGTTAAGAGCATTAAAAAACAAAGAAATGAAGTAAGGGAAGGGGATAGGGAGAAGAGGGAAGGAAGGAAGGAAGGAAGGAAGGAAGGAAGGAAGGAAGGAAGGAAGGAAGGAAGGAAGAAAGGAAGGAAGGAAGGAAGAAGGAAGTGAGGAAGGGAAGGGAAGAGAAGGGGAGAGAAAGGAAGGGAAGGAAGAAGGGAAGGAGAAAGGAAAGAAAACTACCTGGCATATACTATATGCTCGATCAAATGTTGGCTGCTGAAATTATTTATAACTGCATTTTGAAGAGCTGCCTTGTAGATCCTCATCTTCAGACATTGCTGCCCCGGTTCCTCTTTCAGGCTTAGTATCAAGAATCCATCCAGGGTCTCACTTCCCTTCTGGCTAGTGCACAGGCAGACGAGAACCTGGAGGGTCTGAGCCAGACCCTCCTGTCCCATCTGTTCACACAAGGCCCAGTCGTAGCCCGGAGCCCAGCCTTGAGTCAGGCTTGAATCCAGACCCACCACATCTTTAACCCGAGCCTCAGTTACTCCATCTGTTAAATGGGGATGATCATACCTGCCTCCTGGGTCGTGGTAGGATTTAAATGCAACAAGGAATAGAAAAACACTTAGCTCAGAGCCAGGCCTGTAATTGGTGTTTCATGCACAGCAGCGATTTTTATTAACAACACTTTCTGCTCACAGGTCCCTCAGACTGTCTTCAGGGGGCGAGTTCAGCAAGAAGTACCCGCTGGTCAGACCGAGCTATGAGTCCAAAGGAAGCCGTGGTCTCTTTGTCCTGGGCACGGCCAGCCACTCTGTGGATTACCGGAAGTCTGCTGGGGGCTTCATCCACGGATTCCGATACACAGGTGAGGCACCTCCCAGCTCAGGAACCCACTCCGGTTTCCAGCAGCCTTCAAGGGATTGCTCATCAGTAGTCGACTGTCTTACGTTCCGTGTCTGGGACAGACAGCAATGGGTTTCCAGGAGGATAGGTCTAGAAAAGCATCTGATAAAATATAAAAGTACGTTAAGGTGACCAGACATCCCGATTTTTAACTATTTGTCCCATGAACCCCAGTGTTTTAAAAAAGTCCCGATTTAAAAAAAAAAAATCGGGACTTTTTAAAACGCCTTGGGACGAGGGAAAAATTGTTAAAAACCGGACGTCAGCCGAAACTGGTTTGGCTCAGTGGATAGAGCGTCGGCCTATGGACTGAAAGGTCCACGGGTTCAATTCCGGTCAAGGGCATGTACCTTGGTTGTGGGCACATCCCCGGTGGGGGGTGTGCAGGAGGCAGCTGGTCAATGTTTCTCTTTCATCGATATTTCTAGCTCTCTATCCCTCTCTCTTCCTCTCTGTAAAAAATCAATAAAAAATATTTTTTTAATATATTTTATTGTTTTTTTACAGCAAGGAAGAGAGAGGGATAGAAAGCTAGAAACATCGATGAGAGAGAAACATAGACCAGCTGCCTCCTGCACACCCCCCATATTTTTTATTGATTTTTTACAGAGAGGAAGAGAGAGGGATAGAGCTAGAAACATCAATGAGAGAGAAACATCGACCAGCTGCCTCCTGCACACCCCCCACCGGGGATGTGCCCGCAACCAAGGTACACGCCCTTGACCGGAATCGAACCTGGGACCTTTCAGTCCACAGACCAACACTCTACCACTGAGCCAAACCGGTTTCGGCTAAAAATATATACATTTTTAAAAATCGGGACGTCTGGTCACCTTAAAGTACGTACATCTGGGGAGCGTGTTACATGCCTGTGTCCTGTCGGGGAAAGTGCCATGTATTGGTGAGAACACTGAGCTTGAGGAATGTTAACCTGGGTTCCTCCCCAGTGGGGTGGCCTCAGAGGTTAGGCTTCATAACCTCTCTAAGCTCTGTGGGCGTCCTCACGGCAGAGGTGGGAATGAGGGGAGGCCCCTGCCCTGGGGGGACTGTTAAAAGGTACAGGCCGTACCTGGGTCCATGCAGCTGTGAAGCATCACACACAGTTTTGGGTACCGACAAACCTGAATAGGAATTACAGTTGGAGCCCTAGCCGGTGTGGCTCAGTGGATAGAGCGTCAGCCTGCAGACTGAAGGGTCCCAGGTTCGACTCTGGTCAAGGGCACATGCCCCCGTGGCAGGCTTGATCCCCAGTAGGGGGCGTGCAGGAGGCAACCGATCAATGATTCTCTCATCATTGGAGTTTCTTTTTCTCCCTCTCCCTTCCTCTCTGAAACGAATAAAAATATTTTTTCTTAAAAAAATAATCACAATTGGATTATATATGCTCCTTTTTTGGAGATCTGGGTACCAAGGGTATAAATTTTCTGCCCTCTGGGGAGGCTGTGGGATGGGTGCTTTATTGTGTGGCAGGTGTTATATGAGCCGTTAATTCTGTTGCAAACACCATGAAGGCCCTGCAACCTGCATTCTGTCATTCTGTCTTTTCTGTGTTTAATTTGGTGCCTCGCACTGCCTTAATGCTCACTTTTGCATTTTACTGCCCTTCCAGTTGGGCAGAGAAAGATAGCAATGTTTTACTCTTGATTTCCAGGAAGTATATTTTGCACCCCACACGTGTCTTCAGAGGAGGACACCAGGGAGGGAGTGTTAGCTGTCTGTAAAGCAGAGTATTTGCAGATTGAACATACGCACATGCACACGCACGCACACACACACACACACACACACACCCATGCACACACACACACACGCCCATGCACACACACTGAACGAGAAGAGTGTCTCCAGCCCAGTCCCCCCAGTAAGAAACCCTCATCACCATTCCCGTGCCCGGCACCCTCCCTGCACCCACTCTCCTGGCACACGCCGCCCAGTCCCTCTTGCTCCCTCTGTCCTCCGCCCCTTTCATTCCAGCTCACAACAGCCCCACGAGACACATCCTGGTATTTCAACTCCGTTTTGCAGATAAGGAAACTGGGGCACAGAGACGTTAGGTAATTTGCCCACAGTCGCCCGGCCAGTGGGTGGCAAAGGTGGAATTTGAACCCGTATCTGCCTGGCTGGCGCTCACGGCTAACCGCAGAGCTTCGGGCAAATGAGAAACAGACGTGGGTGTGTGGGCCGCAGATCGCTGTGGTCAGAACTCACTGAGGAACCTCCTGGGGGAGGGACGGGTGACTACACAGTACATGCCGCCCAGTTCTTGCTCATCATTCATCCGAGAAACGGGCCCCGCGGGAGACAAGTAGCAAACAGTGAGGCAGAGTGAAGCAATGGAAGATAAAAGCTGGGCAGAGGCACAGACCGGAACTGCTTGGAACGTAGGACTTGCTGGGAGCCTCGCCCATCTCCCATCTCTGTCTGTAACCTGCCCTACCATAGAACCCACCAAAACAACCTTTAAAACAACAACAACAACAACTGTATCCTTCCTCTATTCGCACATCTTGAGTGGTTCCCCCGTCTCCGCAGGGAGATCCAGCTCCCAGCACGGCGTTCAGTGCTCTGTGCAGCCAACACCAGCTCACCCTTCCAGCCTGGTCCCTCGCCTGCTTGTCAAGAGGTGCCAGGCTCTCTGAGGATTTTATTCCTCCCCATATGCGTTCCTTTTGTTGGGGCACTCAGCTTCTCCCTTGTCTCCTCCGGAGAGCCAGGTGTCTGGGGAGGCTGCACGCCTTGCTGTGACCGCGGGCCAGCGAGTCCCCGGGCACGTGAGCTGCTGTGCCCTGGCCTTTCCCGGGTCTGGGTGTTGTGCTGATTCGTTTTGGAAGATCAGGCCTCTGTGGGAGGTGCCCCAGTTTCACAACTGAATGCGGCAGCCCCAGGCACACAGAACACGTCTCCTGTTGTTCCAGACAGCTGTGGCTTTTCTGTCCTGACATAAATAAACAGAGCATTTCAAAATAGAACCGGTGACAGATTGCGTTCAGGCCGGGAAGGAGAGGGAGCAATCAGAGGGTTTCCGGGTGGAGGGCTCCCGCAGGAATGGGGACTGGGCGAGGGGAATGATTGCAGAGGGAGGCTCTGGGTCCGGTTTTGGCACACTACGTGTGGAGTGACAGCTGTGGGACTTCCATGTGCGGGTGGCAAAGGCAGGGGGGCAAACACGGGCCTGGGGACCAGGTTCGGCCACGCCCCTTCACTTAGCGGTCCCCTGTGGCTGCTTCCACACCGGAGGCGGAGTTGAGTAGCCTGACAGCCTCTGCAAAGCCGAAAACGCTTCCACCCGGCCCTTTCCAGACCCTATGCCGACCGTGCTCTAACGGCATCTACGCAGAGTATATTGAGTTTAGAGAAGTTGGAGGCAAACGATAAATTCTTTTTTTTTTTAATTAATATATTTTATTGATTTTTTACAGAGGAAGAGAGAGGGATAGAGAGTTAGAAATATCGATGAGAGAATCATCAATCAGCTGCCTCTTGCACACCCCCTACTGGGGATGTGCCCGCAACCAAGGTACATGCCCTTGACCGGAATCGAACCCGGGACCTTTGCTCTATCCACTGAGCCAAACCGGTTTCGGCTAAATTCTTCTTTTTCAATGTTTTTTTTTATTGATTGCAGCAAAGAAGGGAGAGGGAGAGAAAGAGAAACATCTGTGATGAGAGAGAATCATTCATTGGCTGCCTCCTGCAACTCCCTCTGGGTATCGAGCCCACAACCCAGGCATGTGCCCTGATTGGAATCAAACCGTGACCTCCTGGTTGGTAGGTCCACGCTCAGTCACTGAGCCGCATCGGCCAGGCGAAAGGTAAACCCTGCAGGGCAGCGTGCCATCCCTCCCTCTGGCCATTTCAGTGCGTGCCGTCCACCGGCTGCTGGAGCACCGCCACCACGGCGCCGCCTGGCCCTCCACCGAGCTCCCCATCGCACAGCTGACCAGCTCCGTCCTCCGGCGCGTGAACGAGGCCTCTGGGCTCTACCAGATGTTCGGTGTGCTCGCCGATGTCGTCCTGGTGAAGGAGTGAGTCACCTCGCTCCCCCTCTACCGCCTCACCTTCCCCTCATCGCACCTCTTCCTGTCCCAAGTGCGGAATAGCCCAGTGGGTCCCTCCTAAGAAGAAGCCCGAGGAGAAACAGGGGTGAGGGGAGGGGAGATGGATTTATTCTGGAGAAAAGTCAGTGGAATCCACTCCACCAGCTCTGCAGACAGACAGTCCTGCATGTGACCCAGGTTGTGCCTCTTTCTACCTGTGTGACTTTGGGCCAGTTAGTTAGCGTCTCTGAGCCTTTTTCTCCCCTGCAGAACGGGGGTAAAGCGGGGGCTCTGCATACCTGGCAGACCTGTAGGAAGGAGGAGAAAGGAGAAAGATGCTCATAGAAAGCATCTGGCACCAAGTAGATGAGCAGTAAACTGCAACACCAGTGAGATCCGTGAGTTCCCGGGGGCCGGGCCAAGTGGGCTCTTACCAGTCCAGTGTCAGGGACTTCCTGAGCAGGAGGCTGTAGAAGGGCTGGGGGAGGCCCTGTAGGGACAGGTGGCGGGTGAGAAGCAGAGGAAGAGCTCTCAGGAAACAGCGGGTCCAAAGCCGGGGAGAGCCGCATCACACCAAGTTCAGGGGCGGTGCTCGGCGCAGCACCTTCCTGTCATCCTTGACCCTCTCGCCTCCACACCCATCACCACACACACCACCCGTAAGTCCCATTGGCTCTCCTTCAGGTTGTCTAGAACTGACCTCCCCTCACAGCCCTGCCCTGCCCCTTGGTCCAGACCTCCAGCATCTCTCACGGGCCCTGGTCCAGCAGCGGTCTGCTCTCAACGCGTGGCCAGGGTGGCCCTTACAAAACACGAGTCACAGCAGTTCATCTCTGCTCAGTGCTCTCGTGGCTCCCCTCAGTCCAGATAAAGCCAGGCGTTCCATCGTGGCATACACAAGCCTTCCTCAACCTGCCCCCAACGATTTCCCCAACCCCCTGTCCGGACTCCCCGTCCCCTCCCCCCCACTCCAGCCACCTTGTCCTCCTTCCTGTCCCTCGGACACACCAAGGCCTGCGCCCCGTCCCAGGGCTCAGCTGTAACATGAATGTGAGGTGTATGTGCGGGGCCAGTCAGAGTCTGCGTGCTGTTTGATGGTCACTTCCTAGAGGGAGGGAGACACGTGCACACAGGCCCGCGTGCACACGCTCGCCTCGCCTCCGCGCAGCCCTGAGGGTCTCGCCCTCCATGTGCCTTGGTCCCAGGAACGGCACCGCGTTCGAGTACCTGGAGGAGTTCCCCATGCAGATGCTGGCCCAGCTGGAGACCGTCACCGGCAGGCAGGCCCGGCACGGGCTCTTCGTCATCAACATGGAGTACGGCAGGAACTTCTCCGGGCCCGGCAAGGACGTCTTCTTCTATGACCGGTCTGTGGGGTACACGGAGGACGCCTGGCAGTCCAACTTCCTGCACCCCGTCATCTACTACTACAGGCAGCTGCCCACCGGTGAGCCGGCCCTGCCCTCCCTCCCCCTGGGCTCTCCTGAGGTGGGCACTCCTGGGGCCCCCACTGTATAGCAAGGTGTCACCATGAATCCCTCCCACAACACTCCACTGACAGAGGAGGCGCGCTGGGGACTCTGCACAAAGACGGGAGGTCCAAGAAGGATAAGTGCTGGTCCCAGGTTCTGGCCTGTACCATGCATGACGTGGGGCAGGGCACGTGTGGGGTGGCATGATCTCCAGGCACCACAGAGTAGAGGGGCGCTGTCTTGCTGTGTGTCTCCAGAGGAAACACCTGGTTTCATCATGGAGTGGGGCGGGGGGACTTGGAGAGGAGTAGAAGGAACAGGGAGAGGAGCTGGAAGCGGTTAACACCGGAGCGGAGCGGTGCAGGGCAGGATGGCTGGGAGGCGCTCCAGGTCTGTCCTTTCCCTGCTGTGTAACCTCGGACCACGTGTGAACCTCTCTGAGCCTCAGCCTCCTCCTCCGTCAAATGGGGGTAAAAGCAGTGCCTTCCTTCCTGCATGAGGATAAATGAGACGATATACACAGGATGCCAGCACGGTGCCCGGCAGTGTAGCTACCAAGGGGTGAACCACCCGGGGAACCCAGCTCCTGCTTCAGAACTCGAAGGGCTGTCACTTGGAAGAGGATGATCTAAAAGGGGCAGAGGCGGTATCAGCACGTAGAAGTGGCAGGACCGCAGGTGCATATCCAATAGAAGGAGCAGGTAATGAGCTGTCCACAGTGGGACGGCTGCCTCCCAGCGCCGAGTTTCCCACACCAGGGCTGGTTGGGCCATGGCCTGAGCCACGTGACAGGGACACCACAGAGGGGACTCACAACAGGTGGGAGGTGAGCTAGGTGAGCTCTAAGACCCCTTCCGATGCTGGGCCCGAGCCTCCTCACAGAAAAACCAGTTTTGAAGTGGCCGTAATAGACCTCCTTGTACGTGAGCCTTAGAGAAGCACCAAGTTCAAAGTTCTGCCCTCTGATAGCACAAGGGACAAGTCTGGTTTTGTCCTGTTTCCTCACGCTAACCTTCCAAGCATTCGGGGATGGCTGTGGAACAGCGGACCGCAGCCGGCACGAGGAGAGCCGAGCTCACGAGCAGGAGTGAGCGGGTAGGCGTTGGGAATGCCACGGACCCGAGTGGGAAGCCCGGCTGCTGGGCTCTGACCCGGCCCCGCCTCTCCCCACAGAGCAGGAGGTGCGGTTCCGCCCCGCAGACTGGCCCCTGCCGCGGCCCGCGGCCATCCACCACATCGTGGAGGACTTCCTGACTGACTGGACCGCCCCCGTGAGCCACATCTTGCCTCTGAGGCGCTTCCTGGAGAACTGTCTGGGCACGGATTTGCGAGGCTTCTATGCAGGTAGCGTACGTTCCCCGGAGGATAGCGGGCCTGAGCTAGAGGGTGGAAGGAGGCCCGATAGGGCATGCCCCTGTGCTGCCTCAGGACGCACATCTAGAAACCCAAACCCAGGGCTCCGTGTCCCACAACGTGGTGTACCGGGTGTTCACAGACCCTCCCAGACAGCACGCCTTCCAACGCCGGGAGCTGGCAGGACAATTAGGAGACCGCAAAGCCAACGTAAACCCAAGCTGGATGTGGGCCATCAGCAGGCCGAGCCCAGGAAAGTGAGCAGCACTTGCGTATAGGATAAGGTGACCAGATGTTCTGCTTTTGGCGGGACAGTCCCGATTTTTAACAATTTGTCCCACGTCCTGCGACGTTTTTAAATGTGCGGGACGTGGGACAAATTGTTAAAAATCGGGACGTCTGGTCACCTTAGGGTAGGAGGGTGAGGCTGGAGCAGAGGGGGTCTGTTTAGAGACCTTCAAATAAGCTTGGATCTCAGTGAGTAAACTAGGAGGCAAAGAAAGAACCCCCAAGACGGAGATGGTAGAGACCCATGGGGAGGGGAGGGGGTTGCCCCTGATGACTTCAACCACTAGGGCCTCCCTCATGTGAGTTTGGGCCGAACTGCACAGCATCGCTGTAGTACAGCAAGCATCTGTGAAGCATTCTTAGCATATAAGGCACTATTCATACCAAATCCGGTTAGAGACAGTCAGTCCTCACCCGCAGGTCAGAGAGCAAATGTCCTTGTTTTATCCCAGGTGCCATCCTCGGGCCGCTTTGAAATGAAAGTGTGTAGATTAAGGGAGATGGCTTAAAACAATAGTTCAAATTCATCGTCCAAATACATGTAACTGCTCCAACACAGGCGAGTCACAGAGCACAGTGCTAGCATTCTGCACACCATCAGCTTACACATGAAAACATGGAACAGGACTAGCAACCTCAGCCACGAAGCCCTGCCTGTCTCAAGGTTTCGGGAGCACAGAGACGCCGGGGCCGGTTAGGGAACACCTTCCCACCCTGAGTTTTGGCTCCTACGATTGGATCATCCCTGGCCCTTTAGCCTCCTGGCTCCCACTCCCTAGACACTAGCACAGGCCACATATAGCAGTGCCTTGAACTCGGAAGAATCCTACCTGGCAGAGGGCCAGCTGGCAAAGGGCGGCCTTCTCCCCGTCCCCTTCCATGATGAGCTGGGCTCCCCTGGCCCTGGCCCCTGCTGTCTTCCCTGCTCAGAGAGGGTCAGCAGGGACCGTCTGTGCTGTGGGTCAGAACTAAAGTGGGAAATAATATTTGTGAAGCAGGCTGTACATCCATGGAGGCCTCCCAACATTCCTTGCAGGACCAGGGTGGGCCAAAGTAGGCTTACAGCCGCACTGGGACATCCTTTTGAGTTAATAGATCTATTGTCATCATTTTAACCTGCTTGTCTGACATTCAAACACCTGTAAACCTACTTTTGCCCACCCCTGTGTGCCCATTTTGTGAAATAAGAGACTCAAGCTGGTTTTCTACCCTCCCTCCGTTTTCCCATCCTGTCTCGGTCCCTCAGGACACTGAGCCCACGTTCCATCCTTTCTAGTTTATTTTTTTAATCTAAGTTATGTAACACCTGGCTCCAAGGCTTTTTCCCGCCTCCATTCTCGTTCTCCAAAAGGAGCTGCTTCTAGCTCTTCCGGTGGTTTCTTCCTATTTCTCAATAATCAGTGCCCACGTGATTTCCTAATCGGTTAGATTTGACCCGCCAACTGCTGGGGCACCAAGGAGGGTAGATCACAGGCGCCACTGGCCCGTTTTGTCTTCATAACCCCCGCAGCACTGAGAGCAGGGCTCGCACATGGCATTTGCCACTCAGATACTGTTGAGGGAAGAAATCTTTGCGGGCAGCTCTGAGCTCAAAGGGGACTGAGTGCCCCCCAGGCCGGCCCGGGCAGAGCATCCTGCTGGCCCCATCTCTGGAAGCTGAGTCATCTCTGGGTTGTGTCTCACTTTGGAGCCTCGATCTTCCCAAATGTTGGGGTAGCCGATTCCTGGAACTACGGAAGGGGCTGAGTTCCATGGCCACTCAGTTAGAAATGAGACACCCAGAAAAGGCAGCTCCCAGGCTCGGGGATGGAGGGTCCTGGGGGAGGCCCCAGGGACCCCCGGCAGCTCCTCCTGCACCTCGCCCACACCTCATTCATCTCCTCCTGCTTTTCTGTAGAGTCATGCTTCCTGTTCGCCCTCACACGCCAGAAGCTGCCGCCCTTTTGCCAGCAGGGGTACCTGAGAATGCAGGGGCTGGTGGGAACCGGGAGCCTCCGCCAGCACCGAGTGGCGAGCGGGCTCCTGCAGGGCTATGCCGCTGCGGGCAAGCGCAGCGAGGACAGTGGCCAGCGGCCTGGCTTCCAGGAGCCAGCAGATCAGCCCCAGGCCCCAGGGCCTCTGGACCAGCCCCTCACCGGCAACAAGGAGGAGCTGTGATGTGCAGGTCTCTCCCACCCAGGCCTTCTTCCCCAGCACCGTGCTCCCACCAACGTGTGACTGCCAGAGGCCACTGGCATCATCGCGGTGACCCCCCACAGCCACACAGAGCGACAAGGGCTGGGGGCGGCCATGCGGCGGTCTCCTCCCCTCCTGCTGGGTCCACAGTGCCCACGAGGTGGGGTCCAGGGAAGGACATCCCCTGCCAGGAGGAGTCGCCTCCCACAGCCCGGCTTGTCTGTGAGGGAATTATCGCCGAGCACCAGGCTGGCCTCAGTCTGTGCCCATCAAGTGCCCGGTGGTTCCGTTTCCTTCGGGTCTACTCTTCAAGCGGGCCTGGCGGGCCTGTCAGTGGAGCATTTCACAGATGAAACCCATCCTCATCTGCGTAAGGCTCTTCGAAACAAAAGCTCTAGTATCCCCAGTCACGCAGGGCAGGTAGGACCCAGCTCAGAGAGGTTGGGTGACTCCCAGGCCCCCAGCCAGGAGTCCTGTCTGCTGCAGCCTCTCCCCGCCCCCACCTCTGTTTCCATACAGGGGGCCAGAGGCCCTGGGGAGCCAGGCTAATGGCCAGGGGCCCATCGGGTTGTCATCAGGCAGAGATAGCATCTTACCTAAGCAGGCTCTCGGCTGCTTTCTCCCTGATTTATCTCTAGTCTCTATTTTCTTCTTCCACCCTGCCCTCTGGCTTCCTGAACAGTGCCTGGCCTGACAGGCAGATCCAGTTTTGGCACCTGACTGCCTTGCAGCGGGTTGCTTTTGGAGGTGGTTTACCCGCTGTTTGAACAGAGCCCCGCTCAGCTTGTGGGGAGACGTTTATAAATGCGGTTGCATGATAACAATGATGGATTTCGTAAGCTTCCTGGGCTATTCTGGCTCTTTGTTGTCCTTCCTCACCAGGGACCTGCTCCCTTCTTCCCTCTCCCATCAGGCATTGTAGTCCTGTCTCTGAGAAAGCCGTGGGACAGCATTGTATTGATACATAAAATAATTGTGGTCACTTCTCAAGGTCAGGATCCTAAATGATGCTTTCTCACTGGTTCTTACAGCCCTTCCTGCAGCCACTCAGAATCTGAGGGACCCGGGCTTCCCGGCTCCACATTTCTGGGACCATTCTCTTGGCTGAGGTTCGCATTCCTTCCCTGACTGCCCCCACCTCTTCATACGCAGATGCCTCTCCCTCCAGTCATTAGTGGAGTTAGAACAATGGAACTCCCGCTAAGGCGGGAGGCGTCTGCCCAGAGACAATACTTGGCATAGTTTGCACCAGCACGGTCTCTCCCCATTCCCAGGGTGTAGGGTTCACTGTGTCCTTCAGATGACAGGTAAACCACCCTTCCTTTCCAAAACCTTTTCAAATCTTTGAATTAGGACAGTGCCCATAATTTGATAGACATCTTACCTACCAGATCACTGAAGGCTGGCTGAGCCTCTTTTCCAATAAAAGCTCGAGGTGCTGAAACACATGGTTTACTGATGCCTGAATATGTGGCATCTGCTGCTTTTCCCTGTCGTCTGCCAACTTGTTAATTCCATCAAAATATCCGCCAGCCTTATTTGTGTTTAGTAAGACATGGTTCCATTCTTGCTCAGCTGATAGAGATGTCTGAGCAACGTCCTGGTATTCTTATAAATTAATAGAGGCCCGGTGCATGAATTTGTGCATGGGTGGGGTCCCTCCGGGTGCCCTGCAGAGATGGGGCCCCAGCTTGCAGCTCCACCTGGCACTCTGTCTTGGCCTGGCACTGCCCCCTCACCTGCTCCACCATCCCATCATCGGGGCTGGGTCCCCCACCCCCCTCTGCCACCACTGGTTGCTGTTTGCAGGGCAATTGGGCCCCGCTCACACCTGCCTTGGTCTGACGCTGCCCACTCACCTGCTCCACCATCCTGCCACAGTCCTACTCTCATCGGGGCCGGCAGCACATCACTGACACCCGCCATGTTCCACACTGCCCACTGGTGGTCAGTGCACATCATAGCAAGCAGTCGAACCACCACCGGAAGGGACAATTTGCATATTAGGCTTTTATTATATAGGACCAGAGGCCTGACGCACAAAATGCATGCAAGAGTAGCCTTCCGGGATGGAGGACTGGAATGGGGGGTTGAGGACAAATATAACCTTAATAAATTAAAAATAAAATAAATAAAATTTTTAAAAAAGAATAGGCCTTCACCCTGCTGCTGGCACTGGCTTCCCTCTGGCACCCGGAACCCAGGCCTCCCTCCAGCCGCCAGCAGTCACCTGGGACATGGGCCTCTTTCAGCCCCAGCTTCATCCAGAAGGAGGTCCAGTCTAATTAGCATATTACACATGGATTACTATAGATAGCTGGCTTCAAACAGAACTACTTTTTCCCTATGAAGGTCATTGCTGCATTTGCTAGAGATCCTATCTTGATCTTCCCTCCTCGCAGATGTCATTGTTCCCAGCTGGACCAAGTTCCTCTTCTAGCCAAGGCCTCGCTTCATTAATAACTTTTTTTTTTTTAATATTACAAAGCTATTGGTGCAAAGGAGACAAGTCAGTGAAATAAGAGGCCAGGAACAGACGCCATTCTAAGTAAGAATAAGGTATTTTTCAAAAATCACAAACCAATGGAAAAGATTGTGCAGGTCCATGCAATCAATAATGTTGGTCTAACTGGGTAGTAATTTGGAAAAGAAAATGCATCTAATTTTAGACCTTATTTCATACTACAAATCTAATTCCAGATGAATTTTTTTTAAGCCATATAGAAACCGGAGATGAAGAGAGGGTGCTTTAATAAAAGAAAGGCTATTCCAGGTTTAGAAGCAGTGGAGTAATTCCCCAGACAAAAAGGTTTAACATTTCCAGGTCCACCCCTCTAGCCTGTACCTAATCAATGGGACTAATGGGATTATTGTAAAGAAGTTGGTAAAAATTAAAAGTCAAAACATGGACAGAAAATAATTACAGCAAACTATAATAAACGTCTTTATTATATATAGAACTAATTGGGGGGAAAAGGAGAAAAATCAAGTAAGTAAACTATGGCACATTCGTCCAATTATACAGCTCTCAAAAACTAAAATATGGTGAGAGATGTATAATGAAGTTAAGTGAAAAGGAACAGGATATGAAATTATAGTTGCAACTTCTTTAAACTACATAAAAATAGAAACCAGCATATTACAGAAAGGAAGCCCCACTAAATCATCGGTGGTTGTGTTAAGATTTGCAGAAGTCTTTTTTTGTTTGTTTTTGCTTTTTTTCCCCCACTTACTCAAATTTGTGATTATACTCTATAGTGAAATAAATACATTATTTTTTTTAAATCACATCTGATTTTGAAATTTAAAATCGCTGGGGGCAGGACCTAGCGGGTTTGACTCAGTGGACGGAGCATCAGCCTGCAGACTAAAGGGTCTCCCGTTCAAGACCAGTCAAGAGTACATGCCCAGGTTGTAGACTTGATCCCCAGTAGGGGCATGCAAGAGGCAGCCAATCAATGATTCTCATCATTGATGTTTCTCTCTCTCTCTGTGTCTCCCTCTCTGAAATAAACAATTATATACATATCGGGCAAAATCCCGTCTCCCCCACTGGGGAGACACAGCACCGAGTGCGGAGGGCAACTTCTCAGTCTAGAGAAGAGAATTTTACGTGGGTGTGTTCCTCTGCTAGTCTTCGGCCTGACCGACCTAGCACTATGGGGATCTCTGGAAGAATCTTCCCTCCTCCTGATAGAAAACGAAAGATTAGAATCCTCAATGTGTAGAGGTCTCCTGTGTACCAAATACAGTCTGTTGGAGAGCCCCAGTTCCTTTCACCTGATCAAATTGGGGTGTCCCGAATATAAGAATAACCCATGGTCACAGACAGTAGAGGGGTAAGGGCAAAGGCCAGGGAGAGGTCAATGGAAGAAAAAGACGTATGTAATGCTTAAAACAATAAAGAGTTTAAATTATTTAAAAAAAAAAAATTAGAGTGTCCCTAAAAACTGCCTGGAAATGGACTCACCAAGAAGTGAATTTGTCTGCTACATGCCCAGAACTGTGCTGTGGTGGTTTTAAACATCTGTCCACAAATTCTTTGATATTTCTCCCCCACAGGGGTGGAGTTCCATTCCTTCCTGTTTGGTGTGGGCTGGACTTAATAGTTATTAACTTCTAGCAAATAGAATACATCAGAAATGAGAGGATGTCACTTTCAAGATTAAGTTTTTGAAAACTCAAACAGCCCTCTTGGCACAGTGGGCAGTGTGTCAGTCTCATAAAAACACATTCAGCCCTAGCCAGTTTTCTCAGTGGTTAGAGCACTGGCCCACAGACTGAAGGGTCTTAGGTTCAATTCTGGTCAAGGGCACACGCAGGAGGCAACCAATCGTTGAGACATTGATGTCTCTCTCTTTCTACCTCCCTTCTTCCACTGTCTCTAAAAATCATTGGGAAAAATATCCTTGGATAAGAATTAATAACAACAACAAAAACACACACGCATTCATACACCAAGAAACTGTGCTCTCCCCACCCCCACCCCCCCTCTCAAGGCCCTCCCTGGGGAGGCCACCAGTCCTGTCAAAAGGACATCCGGTATGTACAGGCCCACATGGCAAGGAACTGAGCTGCCACAGCCAGTGCATGAGGGAGCCTGGAAGTGGATCCTTCTCCAGTCCAGCCTTCGGATGACTGCACCTTGACGCAGCCCCATGAAAGGCCCTGAGCACAACCGCCAGCTAAGTAGCTCCCTGACCCCTAAGCTACAGAGACTTATCCCATGTTTGTTGTTTTAAGCTGATCAGTTTGGGGGATGCCAATGTGACTCGGTTGGAGTATCATCTGTACACCAAAGGGACAGGTTTGATGGTTTGATTCTAGACAGGGCACATGTGGGAGGCAACTCATTGATGTCTCTCTCTCTCTCTCTCTCTCTCTCTCTCTCTCAACTTAAAAGTAAAAATTAAAGCCGAAACCGGTTTGGCTCAGTGGATAGAGCGTCGGCCTTCGAACTGAAAGGTCCCAGGTTCAATTCCAGTCAAGGGCATGTACCTTGGTTGCGAGCACATCCCCAGTGGGGGGTGTGCAAGAGGCAGCTGATCAATGATTCTCTCTCATCGATGTTTCTAACTCTCTATCCCTCTCTCTTCCTCTCTGTAGAAAATCAATAATATATATATATATATATATATATATATATATATATTTAAAAAGTAAAAATTTAAAATAAAATAAATTGGGAGGGTTGTTACACAACAATAGATAATTAATACATGCACCAAGTAGCTTTAAAAATCTACTTCGTTTGAGCCATCCTCTAAATATTAAATAATTAAAGCAACCTTCCCTCATCACCATCCCTGTGAGTTTCCTTCATGTGAACACTGGGTGACAAGAAACTGAGAGCAAGCAATCCTCAAACCTAGGAAAGTGTGTGGTTCCCATAGGAGGCACAGACATGTTGAAATGCTGATTCCACAAAAGGTACCCTCACACAGAGCACTAACCCACTGCATCAAACCCGACCTCCCATGGCCCAGGCAGGGTGGGATGGCCCAGACAGGAAGAGGAAAGCTCGAGTCGGGAGCATCGGCCCTCGCCAGGCTTCAGCCTCGAGATCTCAGCTCTCCGGCCAATCACATCATCATCCCCACAAACCAAATTAGATTCTTCCCAGAAAAGAAGCCAGAGGCTGCATCATTTCACTGCAGATGCTTATTTCTTAAGGATGCTAAAAATGCTGACTGGGGAGTGCTTTCTGTCAGTCTGCAGGCTTTAAGAAAGCATTAAATCAATCTGGCATCCCGGACGGGATGTAAATCTGCTACAAAGTGAAGTTGATGGACAAATATATGAGATGCTTTAGCCCAAGTATTTAATCCAAGTACATCAACACAACCAATCCATCAAACCTGAAATAAAAAACATAGCCTGCAACAGACATATTGGAGCAGGAGAGAAAGGACTAAGAGAATGCCTCACTCCTCTCGCAGTTCTGCGTAAGTCAGACTGCTGTGCCTGCTCTAGAGAAAGCCCCACGTTCACAGCAAACAGAGGTCTTCCCACAGTGTCTCACCTGCTTTTCCTTTCTCTTTGAGACATTGCTATCTCAGACCAGTTTCTCAAGCCATTATGAATTAATTAGATGTAGAAACGTCCTACCTACAGAAAAAAACACAGCAATATCTCAACATGCGCAGTGTGTTATAATCTGCCATTGTGGTTTAGAAACAAGCAACTGCAGAAACTATGTGAGGTGAGCCCCTTCACATCACCTCGGTCAGGTTTTAAGTAAGTCCGTCTGTCAGGAAAAGAAGAGGTGCCCAAAGCCTCTGCTGGAGGCACTGTGGTAGATACATAGCCAAAAACTCAATGAATGACTCTTATCAAAAGGTGAGATCTGTGCCCCTCCCCTGGAACTGGGGCGCCCTCCAGGACTGTTTGAACCAAAAACATGGTGGAAGTGGTGTCACGACAGTTTCTGGGCACGAGCCCTGAGAGACTGGCAGCTCCTACCATCTGTCTGGGAACCCAGCCACCATCCTGGGGGGTAGCCCCATGTGACGGTCAGTACCAACTGGAAGCCACGTCAGTATATCATCTTGGAGAGGGATCATCCAGCCTCACATGACCTCCCCACGTGGAGCAAAGAGGAGCTGTCACTGCCAAGCCCCACCCAAATTTCATAGTTATGAGCAAAATAGTGTCTAAGATATAGTCCCAAGTTATTAGACATATAAATAGCAAAATATGACCCATACTCAAGAGAAGAAGCAGTTAATGAAGACTGACATGGAGTTGACCCAGATGTTGATCATATCAGACTAATTTTAATTTTTTTAAATTTTATTTTAGAGGGAGAGAGGAATGGGGGAGCTGGAGAAAGAGAGAATCTTCATTTATTTATTTTTAATAGTTTCTATTCTCTCTAGTGAAATTACCTATCGATTTACTCATTCTGAGCATATTTTCCTTTATGTCTTTGAGCATATTTATAATATCTGCTTTAAAATCTTTGGCTCTGGCTGGCAGTTCACTTGGTTAAAGCATTCATCAATGGAAAGATTTCACAGCACAAGTCCAGGTGATTTTGACAGTCCATTGACAGGCTGGGGACAGTGAAACAAAGAAAGGGCTGTAGAAGAAGCAACAGGAGAGAGCCTAGGTGGTAGTCTGCTTAGGCTCCGTAAGAAAACGTTACGGGAAAGAAGTGAGCCAAGGTGGGGCTGCTTTTAACTCACTGGAAAGTAAAAAAAAAACAAAAAGAAAAAAGAAAAAAACACCTCTCTGTTCTCTTTTGTTACGGAGCGAGTCCCCAAGAGATGGACAACCGAAACCAATTTGATTAAGCTAGCAAGAATTTATTACAGATTCGAATCCGGGCTCAAACCTTGGCTGACGCAGTAGCAGTAGCCGGCAAACACCCAGGTGAGAGCCCCGATGGAGGGGCAGTCCCTCCTCTTATACCTCCTTTCCCCATTCCACTGCTGGTTTGTCACTCCCTGATTGGCCCCTCAGGACAAGGAACTGGCCGTCCTTGTCTGTTCCTAAATCCTAAAGACTAAATTCTAAAGACTGGGGACAGCCCGCAGGGTTGGTTCCCAGTCACACCCTGCTGGACATTGGAATGTGGCCCTATCTTGCCCATAATACAAAAGCAGAACTCAGAGGTTAATCTCTAAAGGTTATCTATAGTTTCTAGCAAGGTTAAAATTCAAACAGCAGTTTTTACCAAAATATGGTTGCCACTATATTTCATCTTTCTCTCTTTCTCCCTCCCCTCCCCTCCCCTCCCCTTCCCTCCCTTCCCCTCCCCTCCCCTCCCCTTCCCTCCCCTCTCCTCTCCTCTCCTCTCCTCTCTCCAGAGTGATTTACACCAGTGGTCGACAAACTCAAACTCATTAGTCCACAGAGCCAAATATCAACAGTACAACGATTGAAATTTCTTTTGAGAGCCAAATTTTTTCAACTTAAACTTCTTCAAACGCCACTTCTTCAAAATAGACTCGCCCAGGCCGTGG